TTGCCCAAGGCACTTGAAACCGGTGTGTGGCACCGATGGCAACACGTACAGCAACGAATGCGGGATCTGCTTCCACAATGTGTGAGTCTTGCTGGGGACCCCACAGAGGCCTCGGGACAGGGGGTTCCAGGCAGAGGTGGCAGCTTTGCTCCCCAGGGACGAGGAGCATGTGCCTTTGCAGCTGGGTGACAACACCACCAGCCTTGAGGTGATGCTCTCTTGGTCACTGAGACAGGTCTGCTTTCTTCCAGGGAACATGGTGCCAGTGTGGAGAAGGAACACGATGGAGAATGTGACCCAAAACCTATCGTGGTAAGACAGAGTCTGTAATGGGGACAACTCAAACACCATGCAGAAGTGTGGGACAGAAAGTGCACAGCTGGTGTACACAGCCCAAAATAAAATCCGGTGATAACCAAAGCTGAGAGGGTTTTTATAGGTTATCTGATGCCATCTCTCTGTTATTTTCTACTTCAGACTTCAAACCTTTCTAACTGGAAATAAAATAAAAATAATACATTGGCTGAAGGTTGGATCTGACCACTTGGATGCCTCCAGCAGGATCCTATGAAGGACCTCACAAAATCCAAATCACAGTCTTTCTTACTATCCCTTCTTTTTTTCATTGGAGAGAATTCCCACAGAATTTTTGGTTTCTACTTGTGCTAATGAAATTGGTTTGATGCTGGATTTGTCCCCAAAGGCTGAGGGAGAGTGAGAAGACTGTGTAAGAGTGTTATATCTTTATGTCAAAAAAATGCTTTCTTTTTTCTCTGTTCCTGCTATTTTTACAGGTTGATTGCAGTAATTACCGTAGAGCTGTAGTAGATGATCAGGTCATCGTTGCGTGCCCAAGGATAATGAAACCAGTCTGTGGCTCAGACAGCTTCACTTATGACAATGACTGCGGGATCTGTGCCTACAATGCGTAAGTCCTGTGCATGGAATGTCCTTCTGGATAATCAGCAAGTTGAGGCTCCCAGAGGCTTCTGTAAAATACCAGTTTTAAGGCAGGTGTCTCTGTATGTCTCCTTGCTACTGCCTTCTCGTGATTCT